AAAAGTATAGACGCCATGTTTTTGTGTGTAAAAGCCAAGAAAAAGAATCGATCAGGAAAACGACTTCACGCCAGGATAGGAGTTAAGATGTTTGATTACTTGTGCAGAAGATGCATTTAATTTGACGACTCTGCTTTGAAAGAGGTCTTCTGACGTTCAACGACAAAATCAGCAGTGCGCCGCAGGTAGCCAACGGCGATTTCGTCCCACCTCTTCTGAAGCGCTAACTTCAGAGCACCCACCGAGAATAAAGAATCGTATGAGGTCTTGCTCTACAATATCCTCACGTAGGGGAGTCCACTGGATTGAGGGCCTGAGAGGGAGAAGGTCACAATTCCTTGCTCCTGTGGCCCGGGAAGTGAGCACCTAGGATGGCTTTGATCGATTTGAATGAGTATTAGGGAGCCCAGCTTCATTAAAGAGCAAACAATCCTTGAGCAAAATGCCCGTAAATCCAGAACAACCTACCGTACCTCGTTAAGGTCTTTTGCAAAACCTTCGAGTTAATTTCAACATTTGGGGAAGATGGGCCCCAAAGGAGCTGCACTTCCGGAAGTTAACCCGTCACAAAGTACCACAACTTTCGGGAGAAAGTTTGCTGTGAACTAAACGTTATCTCTGAGACTTGCTCTCACTTTTTAGCAACAACTACCTCTGACTTTGGTGGTCGCAAAGAAGTTTAGTTCGAAAATTTTCTCAGCAACTCAATCCATAAGAGAGACGCGGCGCACCTCGAGCTCGTGCAGAAACTTTTTGCATTTTATCAGTTGAATCTTTCGGATTGCCCCAACAAAATCAACATAGAAAGTGTTGGTAACTCTTCAAACTAGGGTTGCTTCCTAAGATTTTCTGGAAGGAAAGGCGGTAGATCCTGAGATCGAAAGCGATGTGACTCACGCTGGCTTTCATCGTTGTGAGCCATCCTCTTCTGCATGATTGCCCCATTCTTCAGAGCGTGCACAGTTCTTGAACCCCCACTTTCCGCAATCCCAGAGACGTGTGCTTGAACCATGAGAGCACCGAACATGTTTCAAAGAGTTGAAGAGGGAATACCAAGTCGCTTTCCGAAGTTGCAATTTCAGAGACCGTCATTGGGCAGCCCCTTGGTAATGGGTCGATGCAAAAAATCTTCATGGCGAGAGTTCAGATGAACTTTGGACCAAACAACTTATGGTGCTTCTTACATAGTTTCAAAGCTTTCGAAGAGTTTCGAAACACTCTGAAAATACTCCACGGCTCAGTGCCAGCAAGCGGTCAAAGCCGCGTCCTATACTTTTTGGCCACCCTGTATTTGCAATTCTAAGCCGTCTGTAGATTTGTAGGTACGATAAGTAGGCAAATTGGCATTGTGCTTAATAGGAAGAAGAGGGTAGCGACGCGGTAAACTAACCGTTGTGTGGGTTAGCGGTAAAGTGCAACTATATAGCAGCGCAGCTTGGCTTCAATCTAGAACTCGTCCCCACGACCAAAATCGCTTGCCCTTTCATTGTTTCAATTGCGATTCATTATCGTGATCGTCACTTCTTGTCTTGAAATTGCTTTATCTCATTCGTGCAAATGTTACTAAGTCCTACGTATTGGCTTTCATAGCTGGATACTTTCACCCAAAAAACCACTTCTGAGCCGCAAATTTGTCTAAATAGAACGAACAAAATGAGGCACAATCTCGCTATATCCCCTTCCATTTCACGAATGGATAACATATTCAATAAACATAGAATCACTAAAACGAGAGGGTAATTGCCGCCGTTAAAATTCGAAAGGGTTGCTTTCTGTAAAGCTCTTCATTTTTTATGGCCTATGGCCAGAAATCCATTAGTCGTGAGGACCAGTCAATCTCAAAAATCCGATTTTTTTCAGTAACATCTAGGCAATTTCAATAAAATTTTACCATTTTATGCTCTCGACTGGAAGACACCCTGCGATTACTGCAGCTGTGGTTTGATTACGGCGAATATAATGAAGTATACAAACAGTTGAGTGAGAATATCAAAGGACTACCAATTGAGACGTGGCTTGAAGTGAGTGTCTTTTTTCTTTGGGTAACCCTGGATCTGATAAAATAAGTTTTTGAGGCTGTACCGCAGCTGATGGCTCGTCTTGATTCACGCGACAAGATGGCAATGCTTATAAAACAAGTAATCCTCGAAATATTCCAAGATGAAGCCACAGGTATGCTATTAAAGGAGGTTTGTGAGGTTGTTAGGTGCGATAGGTAAAGATGCTGCACGGACGGAATGCTGCAAGTAAGATCTTGCTCTCACTTTTAATGGGAATATTAGGGGTGGCCAAAAAAAAGACACTTTGCCCATGGCGCACATCATCAAACTTTTCATCGCACAGAGTGCCGCTGTTGATGAAAGTTTTACGGCGAAATATCCCTTAGATGTTCTGCCATAAGTAGAAGCAGGCTCTCCTCAAAATATGACGTCATCTTCCATCACCGTTGAGCTCAAGAAGGCCTAAAGTAATCGTTCCAGCCTGAAGCTGCTACGGAATTTCTTTAATCGGTTAACTGACGAATTGCTTCCTAGGGACAGTAGCTCTAAATGTGCAAGACCCCTTCCGACCAGCGTTTCAGATAACGTCGTAAAGGTCCATGATCCGCGAGGACCAGTTGAGCTCGAACCGTGCACAAGGTTCCCATGGCAAATTCTTGTGATGTCCTTGGTGCAGAAAGCTATTATAACGTTTATTGATAGATTGGGATGTGCTCTTTAATACTAAGTTGGGAGCAGTCGGTTTGAGTTTAGCAAAGTGTGATTAATGCTGTCTGAAATGTGAAGTGTCTTTTTTGGCCACCCCTGTAGAATGGGAGAGAAAGAAAGGCTAAGAATGGGAATTCTCCAACTTCTCTCTTCTTGTAACCTCGGCATGTCAGTTGTAAGTTTAACAAATTTTCTTGTGCCTTACGAGGTTGTTCGGTGGAACCTTTATTAATGGCCTAACGTTTCGACTGAATCGTCGTCTTCAGAGGCCGTCGGTTCCACCCTTCGAGCGGAAAAGTCCGCTGCCACACAGAGCGCAGTCGAAACGTTAGGCCATTAATAAAGGTTCCACCGAACAACCTCGTAAGGCACAAGAAAATTTGTTGAACTTACAGCTAAGAATAGGGTCACTTGATGCATGAGAAGTTGAGAAAAGGTGTTTGTAAACTGAGTTTCTTGAAGTGGAATTAACAATCGCGTACATGTTGCTGTCTTCACACGAATCCCCTCATGCGCATAGTTCTAGTCTTTATGTTAAGTTTAAGCATTTTGCTTAGAGGCGTCACCGAGTGTACCGTTAAATTATTACGCATTTGAGCGTCGTTGTATCATAATGGTTTTATGTCGACTTTAGGCGCTTGTGTATGCGTTGACTGTAGCTGCGAAGTCGTCGAATGTCGATCGTCAGAAAAACGCTCAAGAAATGTTGGCAGTAATGGCGGAAATGCATCCGAAGCTCGTCGAGGAGGTCTTTCACAACTTTTTGGTTTTCTTCTCTTCTTGGGAACGTTCTCTTTCGATGTCTTTCTTTGTTCTTATTTCAACTAATGTTTCTCAATAATGCTCACCAGTAGTCAGTTATGGAGTTTTTGAAAATTTTGTTTGATTATCTTAGGCCAGTATGGTTTCTGAAGAATTGGTAAGATGCGCAATACTGTGGCACGAACAGTGGCATGATGCCCTGGACGAGGCTAGCCGACAGTACTTTCCAAGTGAGTTATGTGATGAAAAATTTACTAAAATTAAAAAGGAGCTCTTGTATAAAGCAATGTTCTGCCATCAGGAGAAGAACACGGCAGCTATGATGGAAACTTTGGAGCCGGTGCATAAAATGATCGAGAAAGGACCCACCACGCTGAAAGAGCAGTCGTTTAATCAGGTAAGCAAGTATGACTAGATTGATAAGCTACTTGAAAATACGCTCATCAACGGAAAACGAATATCAGAAATTTACCTCTCCTTCCTTTTTTTCCTTACTCCTTGTTAGTATACTCTCTAATTAAACCTGAATCGCTCATCGGTGAACGGATAATTGGTTCATTTGTTCCTTCGATTAACCAGTGGTACCCTACACAATTTCATTGTTTACAATATTTGAATGCTTATCGGTGAGGTAAATAGTCTCAAAATACGTGAAAGTAACTCGCTCCCATTGACCAATCTCTTGAAAGCATAGCTCAGAATGAATTGAGGAAGCTGTAAAAGAGCATGGGCTCTAGACGACGCGATATGATGCGGCGTTGTAGCCGAAGACGCCTTAGCGGGGAGGTCATTCGGCCACCCGGTAATTGAATTAACATGTATATCTCTACGCGCCTTGGAACGCTGAGCCCGAATCTGATTTCATTATCTGCTAAATTCTTGTATGAAAGAAATTGTGTAGTAGAAAGCGCAGCGGCATTGGTCTGGATTCACAGACAAATGATTGCGGGATCGACTCTTTGACGAACTTACTCTTGGACTATCCTACTTACCCCAACTTACTTTGGAGTAACTAGCTGGAGAGATTTCTGACATCCAATGTCTTGCGCACAAAGAATTTAAAGGCAG